AAGGAAAAGTCCAAACACAAATGGCTTCCCTGTTTAATCTTCTTGAACATTGAGTAAGAATACCAACCCTATAAATCTCTTTCAGAAAATAATGGAGGTGGGGGACAGTTCCCCACTTACTTTGTAGGTCTAGTATTACCCTGGTATTAAGACAAAGGTATTATGTGAAAAGAAAATTACAGATCAACATCTCCCACTCACATAGATCAAGCAAGATTTCAAATCAAATGCTATGGTGTATAAAATAGTACAGCATAATCAAAAAACGTTTATTCCAGAAATCCAAGGTTGATTTAACATTCAATAACTAGTATAATTTTCCATATTAACAGAATGCAGGAGAAAAACCATATGATCGTTTCAATAGATGCAGAAAGAGCATTTGAGAGCAAACCATGAATTCTCAAATTGATGAAAGGCGTTTTTGAAAAACCTGGAGCCAACCTTATACTTCACGGTGAAAAACTTAATTGTTTTTCCATGAGATTGGCAGCAAGGCAGTCACCTTTTCCATTCAACAGACAATGTACTGAAGAACCTACTTCTTGTAACATGACAATATAAAGAAATAAATGGCAGAAAAATGAAAATGAGAGAAGTAAAACTGTTCTTGTTTACAGGCTATGTGATTGTTTATGTAGAAAATCTCAGGTAGTCTACAAAAAATCCAGTACTACCAGAGCTAATATATAAATTTAGCAAGGTCAGAAGATACAAGATCAGTATCAAAAATCAATATATTATCATATACTAGTGTCACATAATTGGAAAATATTTAAGGAACAATTGCATTTATAATGATACTAAAAGCCTTAAAAACCTAGGAATAAATCTTAAAAAAAAAAAAGTATGCTCAAGATTCCTATAACAAAAATTACTGAGATATTTTGAAAAGAAATTTTTGAAAAAGATCTAAAGACCTAATGAAGAGATACAGTCTGTCCATAGAGCCGAAGACTCAGTGTTGCTTAGTGTGCAGTTCTTCCCACATTGACTTACAGATTTAGGCACAATTCTAATAAAAATTGAACTAGGTTTTTCTGCAAAGAATGACAAGCTAATTATACAATTTGTGTAGACATTCAAGGGACTAAATTCAAATAACTAAAGCATTTTTTTCCCCAAAAGGACAACTTTTGGAGCACTTACCTGATTTCTTGACTTACTACAAAGCTATAGTAATCAAGACTGTGGTACTGGCAAAAGATAGACATAGATTAATGGAACAGAATAGAGAGTACAGAAATAGACTCTGTATATGTGTTATGTGTTTTTTAAATATACAACTGATTTTAAACCATAGTGGCAAAGCAATTCATTTAGGAAAGAAAACATTTTTTCAACAAATGGTGCTGAATCAACTGGATATCTGTATAAAAGCAAAAATAATGCTAGAGTTGATTTGGAATTTTACTCCATTATCTGTTTATTGTAGTATCTTTATAGTGATGATCTCTTTTTTCATTGTTGTTTTTGGTGACTCTCTCTCTTTCCCATTTTCTACTTAAAATTGTCATTTTCTCTTCACTTCTTTGGGTTCAATTTGTTGTTATTTTCTTAACTTACAAAGATGGATACTTAGCTTTTGATATTCATGCTTCGTATTTCCCATTGTGTATGTTTGACTATAAATTTCCTTTTAGCTGCATCCCTCAAGTTTTCGTGTGCATTTTGATTATATTTACATTTTATTTATTCAAAATTATTTTAAATTTCTATTATGATTTATTACCTTAGTTTTCTTGATTAGCCAATTTTTGACTATTTAATTTGATTGAGAATTATTTAAAATTCTATTTCCCCTTTCCTGGCAGTTATATACTCACTCTTTTAGTGTTTTTGGTGGTTTAATGTCATCTGGAGATGACGGCCTTCATTCTTAACTCATCGAGGGCCCATGTTAATTGGTACTTTTACACTCTTCAACTCCTAATTTCTTTAAGCAAAGTTGCTCTTCTATATTCAGTATCTATGAATTCTCATCCATGCAGTTGTGGGTCTGGCTCAATCTGTTTTGGTTGTTTCTGCTCTCATTCATGCTGCTTGTCTTCTGTGTCCCTGGAGATCCAAGACTACAATCTCATCATTTCATCTTGTTCTGTGGGATTCCTGAGGGCCTGCAGGCGGGATGCTTTCCTCCAGAAACTGCTGTGTCTGCCTCTGCTGGATGCCAGGGAATACTTTTGGTGCATTTCAAGGATCTTAGCTCAGTATGAGAAATCTTAGTGGAACCTACAACCTCACAAGCATTCACACCCCCTCTGACTTCAGGGCTTGATCAGCCTCGAGCTTCACGCAGTTCCATTCTGTGCCACTCAAGTCTTACAGCTCCTAGACAGCTGCAGGAAACATTTTCATGGGGAGAGATTCCTTGGAAAGCCATACATTGTCTTGCGAATCTGGAATGTGTTAAAAGTGTGTTTTATCTAGGGTCCATTTGTTTGGCTGAAGAAGGGACTCTTAGACCTCCTAGTTTATCATTTTGAAAGAAGTGGTAGCAATGATTTATGGTCTTGGCTTATTTCAGTGGGACAAGGATATCAGGTCATTGCTGAATCAGCATTTCTGTGACAGACTAATGATGTTTCACATCCTGACTTATGCTACACGATCATCTTTTCACTGTATAAGCTGATGAAGGAGACAAGTAATGGGTATAATCTTCAACTGTACGTAAACTTTGCATACTGTAAAATACACATTGTATACCTACAGTGTTAGGCTTGATAGACAGGGATGTGCTAGATGATTACTTCATTTTGTAAAAGAGTGTATTTGTAGTTTCTTCATATTTTGACTTTTTTTTTAAAAAATTAAGAGATCAGTTATTTTGAGCTGAGTTATTAGGTGCAATATTCAAGTTTTTTGAAGATTTTACTTTATTTTGTCTTCTTACACTACATAACTCGGACCATGATATTTAGGATAATTATATGACACTAAATACGTAAATATAAATGTCTATAGGTACACATCAAGTTGTGCACACCATACTCTGTGTGTGTGTGAGGCATATACACATAGAACCATCCCTATTTGGCATTTGGCAGAACATTTTAATCTGGTTTAGGCCTCTGATTTTTCTTTCAACTGATGATGTCAAACAAAGCAAAAGGTATAGCTACATTCAACATTTTTTCAGTTTTAAAGTTTCATTTAATAAAATTTGGATTATGATACATTTTTCATTCTTTAACAGTGGGTGATTTTACCCCCCAGGGAACATTGGTTCTTAACGGGGTGATTTTACTCCCCCAGAGAGAGGACAGTGGCTGTGTCTGGAGACATCTTTGGCCGTCACGCTGGTGGTGGTGAGGTGCCACTGGCATCGAGTGTGGCCAGGCCAGGGCTGCTGTGCAGCGTCTTACAATGCACGGGCCAGCCCCAGAGCAGAGAACGATCTGGCTCTAAATTAGCAGGGCCAGGGTGAGAAACCCTGCTCTGAAGTGATTCTCCTTATAAAAGCAAACTTGATGGAGAATTGTGATTAAAGACCCAACATTTGGGCTCCATGGCTTTTAAATGAAGGTCAGCTACCAACTTACACACAGATTGAGATTCTTAAGCTTACTTTAAACAAGGACAAGCTGGCCGGGCACAGTGGCTCACGCCTGTCATCTCAGTACTTTGGGAGGCCGAGGCAGGCAGATCACCTGAGGTCAGGAGTTCAAGACCAGCCTGGCCAACATGGCGAAACCCCATCTCTACTAAAAATATAAAAATAAGCCAGGTGTGGTGGTGGGCGCCTGTAATCCCAGCTACTCGGGAGGCCGAGGCAGGAGAATCGTTTGGACCCAGAAGGTGGAGGTTGCAGTGAACTGAGATCACGCCACTGCACTCCAGCCTGAGCAATAGAGCAAAACTGTCTCAAAAACAAAAACAAAAAAATTAAAACAATAAAAAAAAAAGCACAGACAAGCTGCTGTTTCCAATATTTGCAGTCTTTAAGCATGATCGAATCACAGTGAAAAGGCCACACCCACAGAGCTGCTGGGCAGCTGAGCTACCGGTACCTGTTGCCTTCTGGTGACCTCCCACGGTGGCTCGGTCGCCAGCCTCTGGGCGTCCCTGCGCGGGACCTTGGCAGCCTGGGCAGAAGGCTCCTGCGCCCCATCTTCTCTCTTCTGCTCTTTCCGGCCTTTCCCTGGGTCCAGGTTTCTGAATCTGCCTCGTACTGTGGAAATAGTTACATGTGCCAGTTAAATAGACTTTTCCTTCTTTTCTTTGAAGATTATAAAAACTGCATTAAAAAATTCTTTTAAAACTCTGTGATGTTTAACTTTAAAAAGAAATTGGAAATGCCGCTTACTTGAAAGACCTGTATGGAATGGTATTTCATTATGTGCGATTGAACGGTATCTTTACACAGGTCTTAAAGAGAGTCTTCCATTCGGATTTAAATTTAACATGGACATTAACTCAAATCAATGAGGGATTTCTGCCACTGTTGTTGGACTTTTTCTCCGTGACTCTTCATTGTGCATATATGATAGTAAATTATTTATAGACTGTGTATTTGAGTCTGATCTTTTATAAGAAGCAGGAGTCTGGGCCTACCTTATGTTCACGTCTTTTCAAGACTTTTTTTTAATCTTGCATATATTTTCTGTTTTAAACTGATTCTCATCACACATCCTTTCTTCTAGGCGTTGGCACATCTCCACTTAATAGAATATGTTGGAGAACAAACTGCTTTGCTAATAAAGGTAAAAAAAATGCGATAATAGAAGGTACTCCAGCCACTGTTCTTTGATTTTGTGAAAAAAAAAAAATTCTGGTAAGAACAGGTCACATTAATTATGTAAAAAGGCACAGCAGGGAACCTGTTCTATCCTGTGCAGCCCAGAGATGAAGGGAGACTTTTTCCAAAGAATACATAATTACAGATGCTTGCTATTTTGCTTTTAACTTTATTTAAAGCCTGTCTGAGAAGGAGCGCGATCGACGCCAGCCTCAGTAAGTGAGTGCTGCAGGCACCCCAGCCTCAGTGGTCTGCCAGGCCATCGGGTCAGTGTGACCAGTGTGCGCAGCCACCACACGTGGACGAGGGGCAGGGTCACTCTGCCTCCCCATCCAGGGGCTGGCAGGCCTGGGCATGGCTGGGCGTTGCTGGTAGAAACCCAGCAGAGGCTCCCGGTGTGGGTGGGGCCCTGGCTTGCACACCTGTGTCTGCCTTGGTCTTGTGATGGGTAAGAGGAAGGACTAACACCCTCGGGCCCCTCTGAGTCTCCCGGCTGGTGGGATCTGACCCAAAGTGCATGTGATGGAACACTGCAGCTTCTGTTGTCCTCCTTCCAGATGGTCCCAGAGGAGCAGCGCCTCACGGCCGCCATCGTCCTGGTGGTGTGGGTCTCAGCCCTGGCGTCGTCCCTGATTGACAACATCCCATTCACCGCTACCATGGTGAGTTGCATGTCTCCATGTTGAGGGCTCAGCTTCAGCCTGGACATAGCCTGGGGCTCACCCTCCCTTCCTAAGGCAGCAGAGGATGAAGCCTGCTCCTTTGCTGCACTCACAGGTGTAGAGGACAAAAGTGAGCAGAGCCCGGGGCAGCTGGGCGGGGAGCGCCGAGAGCCCAGACTGCAGGCGGGGAGCCGAGGCTCTGCAGCCGCTGTGGACGGCACGTCCTGGGGTGACTGGTGGTCTTGGGGTCAACGCCACTGAGAGCTGCCAGCCCTCCCAGAAAACGCTGTCTTGTCTTGTCTGTCTGCCTGCCTTCCTTCTTTTCTTTTCTTCTTTTCTTTTCTTTTTTCCTTTCTTCCTTCCTTCCTTCCTTCCTTCTTCCCTTCCCTTCCCTTCCCTTCTCCCTTCCCTTCCCTTGAAAATTGTGAGACATCAAAAGACAGAGACTTCCATCTTCATATGCTGCGGATGCAGAAGCTATTCTAACCAGCCCGTGTGTCTCCTAGTGCTTGGCCTGGGCAAGATCTCTCGTTCTCTGTGTGGTCTTGAGCCCCAGCCGGGCCTGGAAGTGCACGTCGTAGACCTTTAGTTGGGCAGATGAGCCTGTTTCTGTTGTGACTTCTGCCGGCATCCATTGCTTGGTTCCGGGCAGGAACTGGGAACCTGGGTGTGGCAAAGTAAAGGTAGGCCTAGGGGCTTGCACACAAGTCGCTGGGGTGGTCTCACAAACACTTGAGGTCGTCCCAGGTGTGCAGGGAACAGGCCAGAAGCATGGTGAGCACTCCCCATGGCAGGACACAGGACAGGGGAGAGCCCTCTGTTCTTCTGACTCTGAGGGCCTCCCCGCTCCCCGCAGGGAACAGCCTGTGGGATCCCAAGACGTCCCACCACCCTGTATGGTATTCTGAACAAGGGCACCCCCGGACTGGAGCAGCAGGCCTGGCTGTGTGGGGAAAAGAGCAGGCCGGGCTCGTGCAGCACTGACTGTAGGCAGACCTGGGAACCTGCCTCCCTCGCTTGCAGCCTGGAATTTGGTTTCTGCCTAGGTTGACCTTCTAGTTGCCTGGCTATTGTTCTCCTTCCAAGGTCTGGGTGTGGTAATCCTGAACGAACTCGGTGGCTGTTGTTATTTTTTGGTGAAGTTCCACATTGGAGAAGTCTTGCGGCTGTGGTCAAATGTCCCAGCTGTGGCCCAGCCGGCTCCACCTCTCTCGGCGCCCCAGGCAGGCAGACGCCTTCTGACAGGGCTGCCCTTACCCGTCCTCAGCTGCGGCTTGTGCGTTCATCCTGTTCTCCAGGGAAACACAGTTTGCAGAGAGTCCGCACTGTCCCAGCCAGCGAGGCCACAGACGCGGCCCGAGCACAGGACCCCGCACAGCCTCCATCAGTGCTTGCTTCTGGCCCCACGCTCACAGCTCAACCCCGCCTTCCGGGGAGCTCTGAGGTTTGGACCCAGATCCTTTCTGGACTGAATTTGAAGAGCTCTAACATTGGTGATTTAGGTTGTTCCTTTTTCTAAGAATAGGACACTTTCACAGTTTTGTTCCATAAATTTTAGTGACTACTTAAAATTTACCTTAAAAAAATGGAATCAGAGACAATAGTGAGACAAATATCCATGTGTTCACCACCCGAAGTGAGAAGGTATCAACATTTTATCCTCTTTGCCTTGGAATTTCTTGTTTGTTTTATTAAGAAATACAACATTGCAGATAAACAGGCATCTGTCTTCCCCTGGAGCCTCAGGACCATCTCTGCCCTCATGAGTGTGGGTCCCACCTGTCTCTGCAGTGGCCGCTGTGGGGGTGCTGAGGGTAGGATGCTGACTCCTGTGCGTCCACAGGGGCGGAAGCCACGTACAACGTGACCACAGCAGCCACAGGGTGCAGAGGTGGACACGCAGCTCTTCAGAGCCCATGTGTCTCCCCTGAGTGACTGTGCCACGCCAGCATGAGGCATCTGCAGTGGCCACATCATGAGAGGAACATGGGGAGCCACTGGGGTCTGCTCCCTTAGGCTGGAAGTGGCACACGGCGATGGTCACAGTGCTTGGGTGGGAATGGGACGCATGGCCCTTCCCTGGAGCAGGGATCTGTGAAGTGGGTGGGCATCGAGGTCTCTCCACTTTCCCTCACTCCCTTCTCCTCTCCTCTCCTTTGAGTGTCTTTTTACCACTTTTTTTTAAAGCTGTATTGAAGTCACTGACAAAAATCTGCACCTATTGAATGTGTAAGTTTTCATGAATTTGGACATATGTGTGTACCTGTGATACTGTCACCACAATCAAGGTACCGAACGCGTGCATCATCTCCATACATGTGCTTATGTGTGTGTATGTGTGCTTCATGGTAAACTTAACACCCGTTTGCCTTCTTAATACACTTTGAAGTGCATAATACCATATTAACGCTAGGCACTGTGTCATACCACGGTCTATGGAACGTACCCGGCTGGGATAACTGAAACTTGACCCATTGAGCAGCCTCTGCCCATCCCCCTCCCTCCACCCTCGACAGCCACCATTGTACTCTCTGCTTCCATGAGCGTGACGATTTTAGATTCCGCACACGATGGAATCAGGCGGTATTGCTCCTTCTGTGACTCGCTTATCTCACATAGCATAATGCCCTCTGCGTTCATCCATGTTGTCACAAATAGCAGGATTTTCTGCCCTTTTAAGCCCGAATCACCTTTCATTGCATGTATATTCATATACCACATTTTCTTTATCCACATGTCCATCAGTGGACATGCAAGTTTTTCCCGTATCTTGGCTATTCTGAATAATGCTACAGTGAAAATGGGAGTACAGCTGTTTCTTCTTCGAGAGCCTGGTTTCTGTTGCAGGTGGTCTATAGGATTTCGTGCTTAGAAATCCCTGAAATACCATCTGACTTACCATGTGGCTGTTTTTCTCCAGCTGCTGCCTAAAAAGCTGGGTGTCAGCTTCTGACCACTGGCTGCTTTGGTCGCTCCGTGCTTGGCTTCTGCCTCTGCTGATCCACAGGAGCCAGGATCCTGCCCTAGCTCCTCCCACAGTGGGCCGATGTGTAGGTGGTTATGATTCAAATTCATGAAGGCAGCTCCCTGAGGAGAGGGAAGGATGAAAACAATCCTGGGTCCTCAGGGAGGAACGGAGCCTCACATTTGTTTATAATATTTTGTTCCTTACAAAATAAGCAAAAAGGAAATCTTGCGGCAAAGAAGATAAAATGTTCAAATGTTCTCAGTATATGTGAGCAGTTAACATACATATAGAATGCTCATAATTAACATACATAAGCATGTCATTGTGTTGTTATCCTCTCTAGATTCACTTATCTCTTTTCAACCTATCTGTTTTGATATAGCAGAGAACTTTGTTAATTAGTTTGTTCCTCCTTGCACTTCAGCACGTTTTTGCATGGTTTACTTTATGATTGTGTTAGATGTTAAAGGTTCATTATCTAGTAACTTCACAGTGGCTGATTTCTTTTACCTTGCACGAGGTCTCCATCTCTGCTCTGAGCCTCTGCCAGGTTTATCTTTTTCCAGTCCTTTATTTATTTATTGTTTTTTTTTAAATCCTTTTTCCAACTGCATTTTTAAGCCGAATGCAAGTCGATTTTTAAAATTCAAAGCAGATAATCTTTGTCTTTTAAGAAAATAGTTTAACATGTTTACATTTATTGTAATGACTTATCGACTTGAACTAATTACCATCATTTCATTTTTTTAATGCTTTTTCCTTGCTAATTCTTTTTTTTTTTTTCACGATCATTTCCTGACTTCTTTAGATTGATACATCACGTCTCCCCACCCATCAATTGGTTTCAAAGGTACTGATTTTATTCCTAGTCCTTTAGTGGAAATCATTCTGTTTGTAATGCACATGGTGGTGTCAGCATTTCAAACAACAGTTGCAGTGAACAGAACCTATTTTAGTTAGTTTAAGATGAAAAGGAGTTTATCTAGGGATAGTACATAGTTTTTGGAATTTCTGAGAATTTCTAAACTGCACAATGGGAATGGGGGGCTGCCCACAAGCCCCCAGCTTTTGCAGCTTGGCATGAGTGCTCAGGATCCCTGCCCCCACGCTGGCTACTGAGTCCGGGGACTTCTGTCACCCTGCTCTTGAGTATGCCTTGTCACACCTCTCCTCCAAATTCTCCAGATGGGCCTCTGGAGCAGGTGTGTCTGATTGGAGGAGCCCATGCCTGTTCTAACTGCAATGGAGGTGGCAAAAGTGAGTTTCTGGCTTCTGCCTTGGAGGCCCAGAACTCACAAAACAGAGCTCCAAGGAGGCTTCAAAGCCTTTCTCCATCCCTACCTCAGCGCCTTCTCCTCGATGCTTCTGTGCTTCCCGGTGCAGAGCCTTGCTTGCCCTCTGGGTCCCACAGTACTGTGCACCTACATCCACCGAGTCACTCAACAAGCGGATTGTCAAGAGTGTCTGCAGCCATCTGCGAACTCCGACCGTTTGTATCTGTAGCCTCATTCACGAGTGTTATACCTGGCACCAAAAAGATACTTAGCGAGTGTTTGCAGATGAATAGGAAAGTGAACTAACTGCCATAGATTCATTGTCCTGGAGTAACTGTGTGTCGTCTCCTCCCTGGCCTGCCGTCCTCTGCTACTCTGTTACTGAGGGAGCTGGACACCCTGTGCTTGCTGCATGTCTCAGAGTCGCAGACCCCACCTGTGCACCTCCCTCCTGCCAGACCACCTGCCACTTGAGATGCACCCTTATCTTCAGTGATGTGGTGCCACCTCTCCAGCACGATGCTGGGGCTCTTGGGCCTTCGACAGTGCTGTTCTTTGCCACTGGTAGCAGCTTCCCTCTCAAGTCCCTGCTTCCCTGTCCTGGGAGCCAGCCTCATCAACCCACAGCCCTCTACGTTCCCTGGGTGGCAGCTGGTTCTTTCTCCGGATCTGCCTTTGCTGTGCAGCCTCTGGGCACAATGGCCTGCCCTCTGGATGGATGTAGGGTGTCCTACTCAGGCCCCCAGTCTTGTAAGGCA